ATATTTCTTCATCATCCTTTTACCTAATCCTCCAGATATACAATAAAGAAGTAGTTCATATATTATAATGAGACGCTATTCATTTACGATCTGTGATCGTATATCAAAAATTTCTGTGACACGCGAGGAAGTGTTGTTAGAGCGTTGGTTACACGTTTCCATGGTAACGTTTCCCAGAATCTGTTGAGGATGTGTCTACATGTTTACTCGTCTACTTCAACACTGCTATTCGATTGCGTTTGACAAAAAAGTATATGAACACTTGTTGACAATAAAACTCGACTTTATAAATATTTATGTATATCGATAAACAAAAAGTTATTTAAAATAAATTTATTCTGATGCATATTTTTATTTGAACTTACTTTAGGTGATGCTTGTCCCTTAGTTGTAACACGTTTCCCTTCTGCAATATCGAGATAACTGAAAAGTACATAATGACATTGTCTTAAAAAAAATAAGTGTTAGTAAATAATATTTACTGAAGCTTTTTAAATTTTTCTCCACCAGCTGCTACATAAGTTCGATGATCTTCAAAATCAGATATATCTTGTAATCGTGTACCATGTTGTGGTGTATAAATACATCTAACAGCTCCAAAATTAGCACGTAATGTTCGTGATGCATCATCCAAGAATACTTCTAACATTGGATATTTTTTTTGATTAATAACAAAATTTCGACCAGGAAAAAACGGATCTCCATTTCTCATTAATCGTACAGCTCGACCACGTTCAAGTATTGTTGAACGTTGTAGTGGTTGTTGTTGATCATATTGTTGATGATCACGTTGATCATATTGTTGATGATCACGTTGATCATATTGTTGATGATCACGTTGATCATATTGTTGATGATCACGTTGATCATATTGTTGATAGCCACGTTGATCGTATTGTTGATATCCACGTTGGCTATGTTGTTGATCGTATTCGGTCATCATTTTATATTAGGGAAAATTTGAATAAATACGAAGAAAATGAAAATGAAACTATGAATGAAAACAAGAAAAAAGTTCAATTTGTAATATTGAATGTAAGGATATATTCATTGCCATTATCATCATTACTATGCATTAATCTGAAATGAAAAAAAAAAGAAGCAAATAAATAAATAAGTTTTTAACATTCTCAATAGGTTTCGTTTAGTCATCTATCTTTATAATATTAGGATAATGTGATTATTATATAAAACAATAGAAGAATGAAGATACTATATAAATTATTTTCTTTTGTATTTATTGGAAATATTTCAATTCGAAAAATAAAATCGATTCAAATAATTTTACTTGCAAGATCATCTCATAAAAAAACATTCATAAGGTTGCTAAATCAATGTTTTCAAAATAATGTGACCACCAATGTTGTCGATCGGCTGATGGGTGGGATATAAAGAACAAAAAAAATCCAATCATAACCAGAAAATGTACCTTTAACAGATTTTTTTCTTAGATGAATGGCCTGATTCATATGTGCATGTTGGCAATAAAAGTTTTTTTTTTGTCAATAATTACGTATGATTAGTTAGCGGCAAATATTTCTAACTTTAAAGTAGTATAAATCAAGAGAGGAAATGATCACTTATAATTTTTCACTGAACTAGTTCAACGTGTAGATAATTTGAAGAGTAATTTTGTAATTTTTTCTTCTCTTCTATAGAAGCTGACTAATTATAACTTTCGCTTTCTTATCGATTTGTTTATAAAGCAATTATGTATTGCATTCTTGTTTTTTACTTAATGTTCGCTTATCCGTCTTCTCTCTTCTATATTTATATGCTAAACCTGAAATTATGTTGGTCTTCCTCAACGGGTGTGTCAACCGCCTTTCTTATTTTGCGAACAACAGCAGTGAAAGACTCAGTTGCATAGCGACATCGTTTATGCATTTGGTTCCGATAATTACGCGCGCGAAAACATAATGCTCGCTTCTGCAAACGGTTAAGAGAACATCTTGAGAGCGCAACTCTAGAAAAAAGTATGCTTAGTGCTTTAGCAACTGACGGTTGTCAAGGGAAAGGAAAGAGGACAATCAACGATATGACGACGATGACAACAACCATCTCATAATTACTATTATGTCTGTTGTTTTATTGTTTCATTTTTACATAAAGAAAAGAGAAAAAAATCCTTATAAATTGTATATATATATGATAATCATTATTTCTAATAAGATATTTATGTCAGATAAAAGTTTTTACTTTTATTAATGGAAATCAATTTTATCCTTACAAACCTACACGCAGAAAACTTAAATGATCAAAGAAAAAAAACAGAGTATAAACGGCAGGAATATAAAGTCATGAATGGCGCAAAAAGGCATATTTCAAAGAAAAAAAAATTTTTTTTCTAAATAACGGAAAACATGAAATGGACATATTTACCCTTGAAAAGAAGGTTTTTATTTAAATGTCTGTTTTTTTTCTTTTTGAAAAATAAAATGAATTTATACATGTACAAGTATATAAGTCAAACCAATACTCACCAATATATAAGTTCCATTTCAATGTGAATATATGTTTTACATAAATTACAAATCATGACTTCGTTTGAAATCAATCAAAGCTTACCTGACATGTATAACAATTATTGATATAATGATGAGAAAACTATGTCAAATCTATTAACAATACATTAAAGAAATCGATGTTCTATAAACATTACAATGAATGAAAAAAAAAATGCATGTTATTTTTTTTAAACGACGCGCGCAGTTTACTTAAATGGCGCTATGAAGATTTGTCGTACTTCATCATGTCACTCGACTTTTTTGTGCACGGAGAGATTCTGAACAAAGAACACTAATAGAATTTTTCACTTTTTTTCCTTTTTTATTTCTGCTTCTTTTTTCTTCTTATTCTCTTTTCAACTTTCTAGCGCATCAATGAATAATTTATCATTTGATTAATTTTCCATTTCTGAAATGACTAGAACAGGAAAAAACAAGAGAAACATTTGTAACTAAGAACACCTGAATGAACATTTCGATATGACTTTAATTTAAAAACGAAGACAATTCTAATTGTACATAAAAAAGAAATGACTATTAAAACAAAAGACAAAGAACAAAATAAATAAAAAAATGCGCAATAAACAAATGACTCTTTTCATTCGAACTGTATTTTAAATTGAAATCAATTTATTACATTCAAAAGAGAATTTTCCTCATGTCACTAAATTTCACTAACTCTTCAACAAATAATTATTTATAACATACATTTTAGTAAAAATAAACTACTCGCATCTTTGCTTACAGGTGTGCAAAAATTTTTCTATAAGAAATAAAAAGAAAAGCCATTTTTTTTTCTATTTACGTAATTCAAACTAGTGACCTTGTTTTGAGAATATGATTACCTGTGTCATTTGATCATTAAGTTAGTTAATGAAAATGTACTATGTATTTTGATCTGATGTCTTTAATTTACGTAAAATTTGTTTCGTTACTACAACACAAGACAATTCAATTATTTTTCATCTGTGTTTTAACCATTTTTTTAAATCGTCATCGCACGTCACACAAATGACAAATCGAAAAGACAACATTCTTTACAAGTCTCTTTAAAAAGAAAACATTTTTCAACAACTATACGTGCACTTTATATATTCGTTGCTCGTTTTTTTTCTTCCTTTTTTGCCTACCTGTCATCTCTACTATTGTGTAAAAGTCACTCAAAGGGACTCACATATACGCTGAAAATAGTTGTTGTGTATAAGTGTCTTCCAGCATACAAAAAAGAATCATCTGAAAAAAAAAACTCTCGAATTGTAACCGAAGAAAAAATACATATGATATCATTTGTCAGGAACGATCAAATGACATATAAAACAAACCTTCGTTTTCTTTTTTTCTCATTGTATGAATCGGTGATATATTGTTTATATAGATGATGCATGAAAACATAGTTTATTGTTGTTAGTTACAAAGAATAAAATTGAGAGTTTCATATTGTTGAAGGGAAGACCTTCATAATAGTTTTACTAATAATTCACTACCACATTATTCTTGTTAACCATATTTCTATCATGGCTTCTTTTAAAAGCATAGTATAAGAAAAAAGGCGTATGTATGTCTTACGTAAAAAATATATATTTCTTTTTGCAAAACTACGTCAAATCATAGTTTTTCTTACAATGATTCTTTGAAAATATTTGAATAGAAAAATTTGCATATTATAAAAATTACAATTGAACTAGTAAATATTAATATGATTCATTGAAACACATGTATATAATTTATTCAATCATACGAACACTTAAAAAGAAAATGAATAAATTTAAAAATATTTGGGTCAAAACATATGTAAAAAGATCACAAAATTATTTTAATCATAAAAAACACTTCTTTTTTGAATATAAATAGATTTTGAATAGTTAATCAAAAAAAAATGTCGAACATTTTATATTTTTAACTAAGAAAGAATGGCATTTTCTTGTCTATCATAAAAGTAGGTTAATTTCGATATATGAAATTATAATTAGGATGTTTTTTCAGGAAATAAAAAAAAATAAATTAATAGCAATGTAAGTGAATTTTTTTATTACAATTCTCTTCTTTTGTTTGTTATTAGAAATTTTATCTCTTGCATTGAAAGATGATGAAAAATATTTTGAATTATAGATTTTGAAAAAATTGATTTTAAACCCATTGATTAAGTTCATATATATTTAGTATTAACTATCCTTTATTCTTTTGTTATACTGAACAAATATAATTCGAATAAACGAAACAAAACAGCTCTCTGCAGGCACCATTCTTTTATATAATATGGTGTACATGCGTGAAAGACAAAAACATAATGAACAAATAAACAACGCAATAAACCAACAAGAGAGAAAAAGAGTAAATAAAAGGAACAAAAGCAAATTATACAAGTAAGACAAAAAAAATGAAAAAAAAAAAAACATATCATGTTTCAACAGATATATTCTCATAAATAAAAAAAAGAAAGAAGAAAGAAAGATTTTTGTACAATTAAACAAGTATTTTGTATTGTTTAAGAGATCACTGTTCTGCTCGATTAATAATAGAATTTGTTGTATATCCAAGATCAGTAGCTAGTTCATCGATTAATGGTGGATTAAGTGAAAAAAGATCATATGTAAACATTCCATTTGGTGTTTTTATAGATGTATCAATTAAATTATGTCGTTTAAAAAATGTTACAAATATAGTTAAATCATTTGTAGAATTTGATGCAAAACGATTATAAATATAAATTAATTTTGTTCGTAAATCATCATCAGTTAATACAGTTGGTAAATCATCATCGTCATCATCATCTGTTGATAGATGACTATCATCATTACTTTCGTTTGTATCTGATAATGAGTATGAATGATCTGAATGAAAATTTCTATTTGTTAAAATTTTTCTTGTATCATTTGTTACACATGTTGATGATGATGGTGATATTTGATCATGTTCATGAGAATTTGAAATTTGACGATGCACATTTATATCATCATCACTTTGTCCATCAATATCCATTTCTGTTTGTGTATGATCATCTTCACTATGAAATATATGTGTCGAAGGTGAACATGTTGTTGATGCAACAACTGGTGGTTCAACACTATCCGGTCGAGATTGAGGTGTATTAATAGATGATGTTGATGGTAATACTGATATATCATTAGAAGATGTTGGAACATGATCATTGTGAGATTGAATTGATCGAGATGGACTTCGAGTTGACTTCGATGGTGTTGGTGTACGACGACTATTATGATGAGATGATAATGAGGATGATGATGATGACGATGATGATAGTTTTGATGTTGATGATGGATGAGAATGTGGTGATGTATGATGATTTGATCTATCTTTTTGTTGTGATGAATGTCGAGATGAATTAGAAGAATGAGTCGAACGACTATTATGATGATTTTGATGACTTGAACGATTATGTGAACGTGATCGAGAACGACTTCGTGAACGAGAACGATCTAATAAGAAATTTGGTAGATTTATATTAAATCTTAATAAAAAAAAGAAAACTTATGCACAAAGAAATAATCTCTAATCATATAAACTTCGAATAAAAAGATAAATATTTTATGTGTAATCATCCTCACATTATTAAACGCTGCTGATTAATATTGAAAATGTCATTTCTCATTTTTCAATTAATCCATTAGTTTCGACTGTCGATCTGATTCTTACGGTCACATCCACACTCTAGCCATAGATACTATGTGACCTAATCATACCAAACAATGTACATGTAGGCTATCCGTTATTTTGATCAAAGTTGTATATGAAAAGCTCAACTGTCAAGAACTCTCATGCCGTTAAGACTAAGGATTGCGAGCTCAACTGTCGCGTCACTGGATCTGATAGAATTCTACCAATTTGTTTCGACTTGTTGTTTTTTTGTTTCGTGTTTCAGAACCGACATTCACATCTGTATATATTAGAAGAAGTTATATATATAGACGTCAAACTCACATTTTGATTTATATTCTGCTCTAGTATTTATCTAATTAGTATTACATTTTAACGCTAGGATTCGAATGTGATTCCAAAGATTTCTTCTTACGCATTGTCCTTTCTCGGTTATTGATATTTTACTGAATATTTTTTTATCTCTGATATGATACTTTTGAAAAAAATTGAAGTGCGGAATTTCGCTTATTAGTAGATCTCATGAATCTTAGAATGTTCCGAAAATTTTAGTCTAAAGCGATGTCTTGTTCCCAAAATATCAAATTACACACATCTTTAGACTGAAAGGCGAATAAAAGTGTCACGATAACCTCGGAACGAGATCTATGTAGATTAATAGAGGAAGACTTCTTCTATCTAAAAGTGTATGCATTATCCAGCTTTATTCCGTACTACCGAGATGTCAATAGAGAACGCCAGCTCCATCATATTCGACTATAATCACGACAAAGGTGACGCTCTCTATTGACGTGTTGAGGGTATGCAATAAAACTTGATAACACATACGCTATGAGACAGAGGAAGACTTTCTCTACTAGTGTACATATATGGTCGAAAGGTTATAATCGTCTGTCAAGGTCTTTTAAAGTCCACGAGACCTACTTACATACAAAACTTTATTTCGATTAGCAAGGCATGATTGAGAACCTTCACCTTATTAGTCATTTTCAATCAATCTATGTAACTTGCCTCTGTTATTGCTGCTACTTCCACTATGTTTTCCTGATCGATTACTACTGCTACTGTTTCGACTGCTACTAGAATTATTGATTGATGATGAAAGTATTGTTGTTGTAGAATGATCACGTTTTGAACTTGTTTGATTTTTAGATGACGACGAAGATTGATGTCGGTGAGAATCCTTGATTAAAAATATAAATACAAAAAAAGTTTAAATCGAGATAAAATTTTTATGTATTTTACTCGATCGGAACTTTTATTTGAAGGTGGAGGAGTCATTGGTGAGCGTACACGTTTTTCAATGATTGGCGGAGGAGGTGGAGGTGGTGGTGGTGCAACTTTTTTTGGAATTTTTTTAAGACTACTAATGGAAACTGTTGAAGTTGTACTGTTCGATGAAGTAACATTAGGTGATGATTCTCGTTTTATATTAACATTTGAAGGTGATTTATTTGTAGATGTTTGTTCAATTTTAATGGAAGTCTTTTGAGAAGTTTTATTTGTTGGAATTTGTATTGGTTTCTTTAATGGAATTTGTGTATTAGCTTTTGATGGAGAAGGTACTGGTTCCTTTTTTTTAATCTGTAAAGTTGTTGAAGTTTGTGTTAAAGGTTTGCTGTCATGATCTGGTTTTGATTTCGATGATGGACGTGCTTTCGATAAAGATAAATCTAATAAAAGAAAAATAGATTGATTAAAACGAACAGAAAAAGTATCTTACCGTCAGTAGATCCATTGATATTGGATGTTGATGATACTGTTTGATTAGCATCTTTGATTGGTAAAGTTTTCGTTGATTTTTCTTCTACAATTGGTGGTTGTTTAGTTAATGATGTCAATGGAATTTTTTTATTAGTTGTTGTATTCACTGTTGTTTTACTCGGATTTTCATTCTTAATTACTGACTGTTGTGGTTTTTTCTTTGGATGAGTTGCTGATGGTTCAACTTTAATTTTCTTATTATTAGCAGGATTTATTGTTGGTACTGGTGAATGTGATCTTTTTTGTGGTGGCGAATGACGAATTATTGTTTCAGATGGTGGTAAAATTTGTTCTTCTTCAGCATCACTCCCACCATTATCATTGTTATTAGTTGATATCGAACCGGTATCTTTAATTTTCTATATGTAAAACAAAAACGAAAATTGATTTCAAAATTTTATGATTTTTCGAAAAATAAATATTTTTTTATCATAAAGATACCATTTATTGAAAACCATACTAATCAATATTCTTCAATCTCATCTTTTTAGATTTTTATTGACATAATTAACTAAATGAGAGTTATTTGACTTATGAATACAAGAGAATGAATATAACAATGAATTTTATATTTAAAAAGATTATTTCTATTCTTTACTTTTCAGTAAACAGACTACCTATGAATATTTCTATGATTTTATTTATTCCTATAATTTAGACTTCATATAAAATATGTTCTTATACGCAAAAATATTAATCTCAGTGGTTGCACTAATTGAATGCTCATTTGAACTAATGAGAAAATATCTCCACGTGTTAGATCACTTGTCGATCGAGACGATGTTCATCTGATGAGTAATAGAATAGTCTAGAATGGTTTGGCTTTATAGAACTTTGTTCTTGAGATATCCAAATTTTACTGGGTTTTTCGACAAAAAGCTCTGTTGCCCTCTTCAGGTCACGTGGAGAATTAACTTTCGATTTCAAATTTTACAAGAACAAAGTTCTTGATGAGATTCGTTCATTGTGTAAGTTGTAACCACCTTGCTAGTATCTTAAATTCAGAGACATTAAATATTGATAATTAGTACAGTCGAAGTTCGGAAGTCAATTTTTCCACGTGACCTCATGGATCCACAGCTATTTCTTAAAAAACACTGTCAAATTTCGGTATCTCGAAAATGAAGACTCAGAAAACTAAGTCATTCTAAATATTTCTATTACTCATCAAATGAACGTTGTCTGGATCAAAAAACAAATTTGACATCTAGAGAGATTCTTGCGAAAGGTAATGGATAAAGGTTTAAAAAAAACGTATTTTCTCTAATCTTAAGCAGCTATCTCAAGTTCAAATAGTGATTTTAATAGCCAATAGAGCTTTCTATTTATTTCATTTTATATGAGATGAACTATGACGGTCAGGTTTCTAAAAAATTGAAGCCAGTAGTTTGTAGATCCCCTAACACTTTGTCTGCTCTATTTTTTTTAAATGTCATTTTAAAGAACATAAAACTCTGAACACATGAGCCCGCTGTATTATCTACCTTCTTTCCCTATGAAGTTAAAACTATTACAAAAATCGTGAAAAACAACTAACTTTATTAAGAAATCGACTAAAACACCTTCTTACTGTTTTTATGATGCTTTTAAGTTTTTAATGAAAGATTGCAGAAACTGCGCCGGTTCCTCATTCTATTTCCCTCTTTTAGATATTATCCCTCCCCCTCATAGGTCATCTAGTACAGAATGCATTAGATAGAAAACTCTATTGACTATTAAAATCACTATTTCGACTTGAGCTATGTAATTACTTAACATTATAGGAAAAATATAAACATTATTGTGAAACTTTTTCGTGCTACTTCAATTCAATCTGTTAGTTATGCTTTGTCATAATTCGAGAATGTATCATTATTGGTGACATACAACAAGATATGACTAATGCAGCATAGTAGTGACTCGTTCAGAGTACAAAACAATACTAATGTACTTTAAGATTAATCATATATAGAGGACGCACCACTAAACAAGAACATGAATAGAATTCGATATATTTGAGCTGACTCTAATAAATTTGTTCGTACCTTCAGAGAAAAAACTAATATTCATTAGACTTTGTTAGGAAATATCTACACGTTGAATAGATTAATAATTATAATGATTAAAAAAACTATATATATGCCTACCCCACCAGCTGCTAAAATTTTTTGTCGAAGTTCTGGATCAGGATTGTAAAATGTACAACGATATCGACGTACAGAACTTTCTTTTTGTCGATGTGGATGTCCTTCAACATTCGTATGTAAATCAAGATCATATTCAATACGAAATTTTTTTGGTTCTTTTCTTGTTTTAAAAAAAATATCAATAGGCTAAAAATTGAAAAACAATATTAATATAAAAGTCAAAGATTAAAAATAAAAAGTTTTACCAAATGAAAACCAGCATAACCAGTTTCTTTTATAGCAAACGGTGTTGATTTTAATTCTAAATAAAAATTCACAAATGAATTTATTTTTGTTAATAATAAATATGTTTTAACCTCGTCTATGATCGGGATATTCTGGATGAAGATAAAATATACAACGTTGAATAAGACAATTTAAATCACCATGAACATCAGCAGAACGTAAATAAACTGTCCAATCATGTGTACGTGGTGGATTATGCGTTGTTGTTGGTTCTGATCGAATTATTGATACATGTCCAACTTCAAAATCAATTTCAACAATCTATTTATAAATTAATCGTTGAAATATATATATAAAAGCTATTAACAAACCTCGCCAGTATCATCACGATCGGTCATTTTGTGCTTTATATTTTTTTCCCGATCTAAAAATAAATTTTGATACTACTAAGCATTGACAATTGTTTATAGGTGAAAGAAAAGAGCAGAAAGACAAATGACAGAAAGAAAAAATGAAGAAGCATAAGCATATGATCTCATCCATATAATTGAATATAAATAATGGATAACCAATCAATGTTTCATAAATTAATCGTTTTATTTCTAGAAAAATAAATTAATTGATTTTATTGTAGATTTCCTCTTAATATTATAAAAGAGATTAAATAATAGTATTAATAACCAATATTTTGTATAATTTGACCGATCTCTGCTGACATCTTGTCTCATTTTGATATTATATAAGCCATCTTCTATTCATTTCCCGTTAGTGACCATTTTAACCGCTAGAATTTATGTTCCTTGTTTCTTTCTTTATCACAACAAGATAAATACTAACAACAGTAACTCTTCAATCATTTCTATATTGTTCTTTAATCAATTGATATACACATTTTTCTCACGTATTTTATTAAATAAGTATGTTCATAAAAAGATTCTATCCATGCAAGAAAATTTTCTTCAATAATCACGAAATAATTGATTATTTCATGATTATTGAAGAGAATTTTTTTTTACATAGAATGATATATAAACGGTGTAGGTATTGCAAGATATCAATCAATGATAAATAGAGTGGCAAGAAAGATACTTCTATTACTAGTTTCTCTTAATTCATTTATATTAGAAATGAAAATAAATAACTCTTCTGTATCAGAATACTCTATGGTGCACTTTTTTTTTCTTTTTTTTTAAATTCAGTATTTGATTTCAAAGAATTATTTTTAAATAACCCAATACATTAGGATTTTGATTAGTAGTAATAAAAACTGACTATAAATCATATATCTTAATATTATGATAAATAGTAAGACAAAGTATTTACACTAATGAATAACAGGGTCTAGGTAAAATTAGTCAATAGAATGCCAAAGGTTTGAGAGCATAGAGAGATTAGTTGTATATTTTCATTTTCATTTTTGAAGAATGAATTTATTGTCATATCAATCTGAATCATCGAGCAACATGTTTCGAGTGAAATTTTGTTTGTAATTTTTAAATTTTATCTTCAAAGTAGCGAAAAACATCTTTTAAAACTAAAAGAAATAAAACAAACTTCATCAACACTAAGGTTGTCATTCATTTAACATTTAAAGTGTCATCTCATCCTTATTTACTATAATAGAATTTTTCATTACTTCGAAGATAAAATAGAATATTCAAAAAAAAAACAAAATTACACTCAAAAGATGTTAGTCAATTATTTACATTCATTTGACAATAAATTCATTCATTCAAAAATGGGAATGAGACTATACAACTAATCTATGCTTTTTAATTATTAGCATTTTATAAACTGATTTTATCTAAAATCTGTTGCTTATTAGTCAAAAAAAATCTCATCTTTCTATCATTTGTAATATAAAAAAGTATTTGGGTTGCAGTTATTCTTTGTTCGTTTTAATGTGTTTAATTAATCAAGCTGATAAACTCATTGTATGCGAAATTGTTTGAAACGCTTTTGTTTTAAATAGAATAATGTAAACAACAAAAAATATTCGAAATTACGAATTTTAATGAGTTTATATATAGAACACAATAAGAAATGTTTTTCTATAAATTGTTATCATGATTTTGGCCTATAAGCAAAATGATTACAATTAAAGCGAAAAATTCGGATAGTATTCACTGTACACAATGATCTAAATTGTATAAACCTATGAATTGTTGTAATGCATCAATTTCACATTTCTTATTGCATGGATAATACCATTTTTTTAAACTATATCTATCGACAATGAGAAGTATATTTGCTATTGATAGACCGAACAAAATAAGTTTATTTTCTGAGAGAACAAGTATACCATAACTTATATAAATCTATTTGCGCGATACTCTCGCATTCTTCTCTCTGGCGGTACGCACAGATTTTGAAAGAATTTGATCATTTGAAATAATAAAAATCCAATGTGTTAACTTTGTCACAAAAACAAATGTGATAATATCACATTGAGAAATTGAATAGATTTTGCTTTTATTTTTAGATGGATTTACCTTCATTTCACAACAATTTACTAATTTCATCTCTATTTCCATTTAAAACTGAAAATAATCGAATTCTTTCATCAAAAACGAAACGTCACAGTTTCTTGAATGGTTTAGCATTGTTACTTAATGGATCAAATCAATGTACATCGGTATATCCATGGTTAAAAAAGAAAACAATTACTAATAACACGTAATGAACCATTAACAAATGATGATGAAACTTATTTTAATCAATTTTTTGATTTCATAAGAAAATATACAATGTTTTGTTTAATAAATGATGAAAAAGGTATGAATGAAATATATTCAACATTAACATTTATCATATTTCAATATAACAAGAAAAAATGTATCAAACGTATACTTAATCCACTGTTTGATGATGTTATTTTAAATCTTGAAAAATTACTCAATTATGATATTGATGAAATTTGTGAAAATATTAATATTGGTAAATTAATACAAGGTTCAGCAGATTATATATTTTTACAAGAACAAAAAATATCTTTAAAAGAATTTATTTCAATTCTTCTCAGTCGGGTTAAGAACATACTTTTACGTCGTGATTCAATTAAAATAAATAAAAACAAGTCTGAACCAAAAATTATTGAAATATTTCAAGTTTATTGTGAATCTTTATATCATTCTAAAATATTTCATTCAATACTTTCACAAGTATATTCAAATGTTGATGATCATGAACGTATTATATATTATTTAGATAAAGTATCTGCACATCTTCGATCACTTGATGTAATATTGAAATGTTTAGATAGAAGAATATTTGATTATGATGAAATCTATCAAAATATACAATGATATTTTATTGAATCAATTGAAAATATCATTGATTTAAAAGAAGCACCATCATTATCATTTGACAAAATCTGGTTAGCATTTGATTTATTAGATGATGATGAATTAACAAATGATTTTAAACAAAAATATATTGGCAATAAATTTGTTGAATATGATACAAAATTAAAATTATCAACTTGTTTACATAGTGAAATTCGAATGATAGATTATCTTATTGAACAAAATATACATGAAGTTGATGATTATGATATAGAAATTGGAATATCAAAATTACCATGTTATATTTGTTCATTATATATTGAAAAATTAAATGAAGAATTCAATCGAAATTTTTATGTTACTTCAATAACTCATGGAAAAATTTATCCAAATTGGACATTCAGAAATAATGAAAATGATATTATAAAGAAAGATGTTAATTACGAATTATATACATTAATTGAAAAACAAATAAAAGACTGGATAGAAATTAACAGAAAAAAAATTATTGTTAATTATAAGCCAACAATAGAACTACATGGTGACCATGTCGACAATCGATATGCGAAACGCAAGAACGATTGTATTTTAGAGAAGCAATAAATTTCAAGTTCTGATGGAAGACAGGAACCTTTTTCTTTTTTTTTAATATAAATTTTTCGTTGTGTAGCTCTCATGTGATAATGTATAATCTTTTTTCCATTTTTTTCTCTACCTGTCGATTCTTTTGAATTCATGGTTTCACTTATATATATTTATACATATTAGTTTTGCAATAAAGAAAGTTCAGTTGAATTCTAAAGAAAGACTCAGCAATACTTTTTTTTTTTATATCATTTGTGTCGATGACAATATGTTTAAGTGTCAACAATAGTCTTCATGAAACAACTTTTCATTGGTAAAAACAAAAACAAAAAAAGAACTTAATAAAATAATTGAATTTCTACAGTTTATTTTTTTAAGAATTGTGTAGTCATGAAAGATTTCACTCAATTTTATCTTATGATTAAATCGATATCTATGACACTTATTCATTTGAAGATCTACCTGAAATTATATAGACATAAATGAATAGTATCTAAAAAAGTTCAACATCGTTGATGAAACTTGAAAATATAGAATATGATAAGAAGATCTAAAATGACTTCGAAACTTATATCCTAATCAATATCTTTCAAATTCTTCAATCGTATAAACAATAATTATAAAAAATATCAAAAAAGATGAAGACGTTGTCATTTTCCAAAGTCGAGATACTCGTAAAATAAAAAGATGTTTTCGAAATATTTTTGTTACGCTAATTACGGTGAGACATAACACCATCAGGTGATCTGTTCATTTTGAGAATCGAAGACATTATCTGTGGAAGTCAATAGGAATTTGTTCTCACAGTTTTTCTAGAGTTTCTCACGAGACATCTTTTGAAAAAAAGTCAATGTCTTGTCGTTTTCCCAAGGTGAAATATTTACAAAACAAAAATAGTGTTCGAAATACTTAATACTCTGGATGTTGGATCATTATCTGACCTATTCATTTTGAATATAGAAGACATCATTATCAGAACAACTCAATAGGAATTTGTTCTTACAATTTTTCTAGAGCGCTTTTTACGACGCATCTTTAAAAAGAAAAGAATCAAGATTATACGATTGATCTCTGCAGAGATATTTGAAAAATACTAAATGTCGCAAAACTTTTCGTACACCCGATATATTTAGATTAACATACATAGTTAGAAAGAATTTTTAAATCAAAACAACTTTATACTATGTATAACATTTATTAACTGATTTATCGTATTTATGTGTGGGGTGTGGGTGTCGGTGTGTGGGGTGTGGGTGCCGTTGTGGGTGTGCGGCTGGCTACGGCGCGACACCGTCACCGTACCACACACTCC